GTTTTTGATTCAGCAGATGTTATTACCATAAATATGTTCAGTATGAATTATGCTTCTAATGTGGCTGGTGTGTAATAGATATAAGCTTAGGGTAGAATAGCAATGACTTGATTTTCTGTGATTCTGAACATCACTAAAATGGACTACTGGGGTTAGCCAAGAGAGAATAAGATGTAATTGCTTGCCTAAAGTGATAATATCTTTTCAGTATATCCTCTGAATACCAATGAAGGCAGATGATTTCAGGGAGAGGCAGTCTTCATTTGGGAAATGGGGAAGATCAAATGAGGGCAATAATTAAAATGAGACTAAAATGTAGACCAAGTATATGCTAATTGTTGAGGAAGTCCATAAGATAAATATTGCTTCCTGTGAAATATTCTGTAAGAATGTATGTTTATTTAAAAGTCATTCCTCATGTGTGTTTCATTAAAGTTTCACAGAAATAATATGGGCTTGAATAAGAGAAATACCTGACCCATTGTGCCATTTTAAGAATTATACTGTAAGGATAGGATTAAAAATCTAGGAATACTGAAAAATTAGTACATTGCTTTTAGTTTCATTATCTATTGTTTTTATTTCACTTTTTCTACAATCTCATTTGATAAATTAAACTCAGTTATTTCTTCAGTAATTAGTAAAGAAGGAAAGAATCAGTTTTCACTAGTAGGACTTGATAGTACCTATGCTCATTTGAAAATAGTCATTTTGTAATTTTCTACCTAATGTATCTATTACTCTATTCTCATGTCCTCACTTGTACTAGCAAACAAAACGGTATCATTGTGTTGGAAAATTTAGTAAAGTAATGTTTGTAGAGTAAGTGGCATATGCTAGGAATTCAACTTAAAAGTTGCTGGTATAATTTATAGTTAAGTTGTGCTTGTCTTCATCTCTTTGTGTTCATTTTGTGGAAACATGAGAATGAATTTTATTAAGTTGCTAAATTTACTTTATTCTTTGCAAACCTTTGTATATGAATTATAGCATTCTTTTTTAAAAGAACCATGATAGGAGTGATTGAATGATTCTACTCAGCAAGACTGTATTTCTGTATAGAATGAAATAAACGTGTCAGAATACATCCAACTCTATTTAGTTATAAATAATTTGACATTTTAAATTAATAATTCATATATACAATGTCGTATAGATATTCAATTCAACATTTGTGTGTGTGCGCGAGCGTGCGCGTGCATATGGTAGTAGGAACCGAACACAGGGGCACCCTACCATTGAACTATATCTTGGTTGTTTTTATTTTTATTTTATTTTTTGGTTCCAGGGATTGAACTCGGCCCCCACCCCCCACCCTCTTTTTTTTTTTTTTTTTTTTTGAACTTTGAGACAGGGTCTGGCTAAGTTGCTTAGGGCCTCACTAAGTTGCTGAGACTGGCTTTGAATTTGGAATCCTCCTACCTCATCCTCCAGAGCTACAAGGATTACATGTGTGCAGCAACATGCTGGTTTTGTTTTTTGAGACAGGATCTCATTGAGACTGGCCTTGAACCTGTGACCCTCTTGCGCCACCCTGCTGAATTGCTAGTATTACAGCCATGCATCACTGCACCCGACTCCCAGTATGCTTTTGATAAAGAAAAGTTTCTATGGAAATAATTAAACCTGAAAATATGTTTATCCAAGCTGGGGTGTTCATAAGAATCACTTGTGAACCACTTTTTGAATAGCAGATGCTTTTCCCTACCACTAACTTTCTAAGAGAAGAAGCTCAACAGTGATGTATACTAGTATATCTTTAACAAACCAGCTCTTAGTTGGGAGTGGTGATAGGGAGCACTGATTTGTAGTGTTTGTTGATTTCCATGGTATAAATATTTCCACTGTAGCCAGTTTTAGGTTACTAAAATAATAACTTGAATATATAGAGTTAGGAAAAGGTATACAGGAACACAGCACTGTATTTCCATCATACAAATAGAATAAATATATATAACCTCAAAAAATAGATAATAGTGAAATTTAGTACTATTAGGAAGTGATGAACTATATTTATTACTTTTATTTTTAATATAGCTAATAATAAATTACTGTGACTTGATTTTTAATTTTGTATTTAACAACCAGCATCCAAAATTTCTAAAAATTCAGCAAATCCATTCTTATGAGCTGATACAAACTGACTTTGACATAACATTAGAGCTCTGAGGTATCTATTTTTTAAAAACAACTAAGTAATACAGATGTAAGTAACCTACCAACCAGTTATTTTTACAAAATACAGATCTTTTCCCCTTTCCTAAGACCCAAGAAGGCCTTCCACAGTCAGACCCAAAATTCCTTTTCATTTCAAATCATACCAGTTCTCTCACATCCTTGGTGTGTCACCTTCACTTGATGTTGATTACTTGTAGCTTTTTAAACACACCTTGTGCTTTCCTGCCCCATGCCTTCTCTTTATCTTCCTTCATTCTTGAATGATCTTACCTCATCTGACTTTTATGATATTGTTTATTGTTCTACTAGAAATAGCTCAAAGGCTACTTCCTCTCATTTCCTACTGTTGGAAATATTCCTGTTCTTCTTTTTTTTTTTTTTATTAATTTTTTTTTATTGTTGGTTGTTCAAAACATTACAAATTTCTTGATATATCATCTTTCACACTTTGCTTCAAGTGGGTTATAAACTCCCATTTTTAGCCCATATACAGATTGCAGAATCACATCAATTACACATCCATTGATTTACATATTTCCATACTAGTGACTGTCATGTTCTGCTACCTTTCCTATCCTCTACTATCCCCCCTCCCCTCCCCTCCCCACCCCTCTTCTCTCTCTACCCCCTCTACTGACCTTCATTTCTCCCCCTTGTATTATTTTTCCCTTTCCCCTCATTTCCTCTTGTATGTTCTTTTGTATAACCCTGAGGTCTCCTTCCATTTCCATGCGATTTCCCTTTTCTCTCCCTTTCCCTCCCACCTCTCATCTCTGTTTAATGTTAATCTTCTTCTCACGCTCTTCGTCCCTACTCTGTTCTTAGTTACTCTCCTTATATCAAAGAAGACATTTGGCATTTGTTTTTTAGGGATTGGCTAGCTTCACTTAGCATAATCTGCTCTAGTGCCATCCATTTCCCTGCAAATTCTATGATTTTGTCATTTTTTAATGCAGAGTAATACTCCATTGTGTATAAATGCCACATTTTTTTAATCCATTCGTCTATTGAAGGGCATCTGGGTTGGTTCCACAGTCTTGCTATTGTGAATTGAGCTGCTATGAACATCGATGTAGCAGTGTCCCTGTAGCATGCTCTTTTTAGGTCTTTAGGGAATAGACCAAGAAGGGGAATAGCTGGGTCAAATGGTGGCTCCATTCCCAGCTTTCCAAGAAATCTCCATACTGCTTTCCAAATTGGCTGCACCAATTACTCCTCACACTTCAGATAGAGCCCTAATATCCAGAGTATACAAAGAACTCAAAAAATTAGACAATAAGAGAACAAACAACCCAATCAACAAATGGGCCAAGGACCTGAACAGACACTTCTCAGAGGAGGACATACAATCAATCAACAAGTACATGAAAAAATGCTCACCATCTCTAGCAGTCAGAGAAATGCAAATCAAAACCACCCTAAGATACCATCTCACTCCAGTAAGATTGGCAGCCATTATGAAGTCAAACAACAACAAGTGCTGGCGAGGATGTGGGGAAAAGGGTACACTTGTACATTCCTGTTCTTCTTGATGTTCTCACAGAACTTTGTGTGTACTTCATTTTGAGCTCAAATTTATCATCAATAACAAATGTCTATTTCACATACTAGATTACAAATTTACAATAATTACCTTTGAAATCATACTATACATAATATTAATAGCCTTAAAATGATTAATAAATGCTTATCTAGATAAATAGGAAATATTATGGATAATGCATGATATAGATTTTGTTTTCTCTACCTTTGAGAAACTGATCAAAATTGAAACTTTTTTTAAAATTTAGATGTTTTACATCTTTTTTTTTTCTGGTAATTCAGAACCAAATTAGTATTTTTATACCTGTATCCTGCATCTAAATAACACTTAGAGCATCATGATGACTCCAGAACTTACCAAAGAAATGTTTTAGAGAATATGTGAAACACTTAAAGCCAAAAAAAAATTAAATTGTATAACTACATTTGAAAAATATTTTTATTCTGATTTAGTGTGTTTGATAGTGTTCTGAGCATAAAGCCAAAGTTATTTTATCATGTTTCCAGGATAAAGCCAAATTAGGCCTTTGTATCAATAATACCCATAAAAGAAAAATATCATGCTTTGCTTTGTGATTTGACTTTCATATGTCCTTAAATTTTGCTTTCTGACATTTATTCTAGGATTATTTGATTGTTTCCACATTAAGTGTTGACAAGATGTAAGTGTACAAAGGAAATGTTCTAAAGCAAAAACAACCCAACACTTGCTTAAAGCAAATGGAGCACATTCTTTGTTTCTAATTTTTTTTTTTCATCTTTTACCCTAAGCTGCCACCTGATGGTAAAAATTAAAATGACATTTTTAAAACCTCTTGCAGTTATTTGGATTTTTATGTATTCAGTATAGAGCCTCCTAAACTCCAAATTCACATTGTACAAATTCTGTATGTTCATTGATTATTATTTTTTTAGAGAGAGAGAGAGAATTTTTTAATATTTATTTTTTAGTTTTCGGTGGACACAACATCTTTTATTTTATTTTTATGTGGTGCTGAGGATTGAACCCAGCGCCCCGCGCATGCTAGGCGAGCGAGCTACCGCTTGAGCCACATCCCCAGCCCCATTGATTATTTTATGATTACTTTGGACCACAGGGGGAAAAAATGGTATTATTTAACCTTTGTTAAACAGTGATACTACTAAGGAGATTCATTTAAAGTTTTACTTTATGGGGCACTATAAAAATTATCAGCTGTTTAATTATAGTTGTATTTAGTTAAGAATTTTGTTTAACTTTAGTAATTCTCTTTTTCTCCTTTTCCCCTTTCCTTCTTCAGAACGAGGTCACTCAGATACCATGGTATTCTTTTACCTGTGGATTGTCTTTTATATCATTAGTTCCTGTTATACCCTCATCTGGGATCTAAAGATGGACTGGGGTCTCTTTGACAGGAATGCGGGAGAAAACACTTTCCTCCGAGAAGAGATTGTATACCCTCAAAAAGTATGTACAAAGTGTTTGTATTCATTTAAAAAATAAAAATAATAAATAAATAATCATTAGTTAAGTCCTATCAAAATTATAGACCCAGTCCCTAATTATACTAAACTAATACAGTAGAAGAATAATTACCTAAATTTTTCAGTCAGCAAAATTGTATCAAATGCTTACTATATGATAGGCACTATAAGAAATAAAAATAAAATAAAATTTTGGTTCTCCAGGAGGCCATAAGCTATATCTAAGCAGATAAATAAATAGATTGCAGTACAGTATGATAAAGACTAGAAGAATAAATAATTTACTACAGTTTGTTTTTGAAGATAGAATTCCCTCTGTCTGAAGTACCCTTTCTCCTCTTTATTTGCTTTATAAATTCCTGTTCCTCCTTTTTAAGTCAGTTTAAGTGTTACTGTCTCTTAAAAGCCTTTATTTTTCCTAGCATATTTAGCCATTTATACTAGTCCTTTTTGACCTATATAAATTTCTATTATAGCAATTATCACATTGTATTATAATTATCTATTTAGGTATCTCTATTTCTCACTGCCAAGCATAGTTCCTGGTCTGTGGTACACTTAATGTTTATGCAATGAATGAATGTTTACATCCCTGAAGGAGCAGTGTTATGGACACTCAAAGGAAAGGGAGGGCCTAACTCTCCTTTCATTTATTTAAACCTACATACAAATAAGGACAAGAGAGGCTGAATTTAAAAGTCAAAAGACCAAAAGTATCTTTACTCAGATGTTCTAGTAACCTTGAAAGAGATTAAACAATGAATTGGGAATCCTGACACATGAATTCTGGTCCCAGCTCTCTGACTAACCAATTGTGTCTCATTGGGCATACAGACTACAAAAGATTCTAAAAGGTAAGAGTGTTAGATTAAATTATTTCTTTAGGTATTTCCAGTTCTGAAATTCCTCTATGGTAAGAAAGTATAGATTGGGCCACAAATATTTTATACTATACCAAAATGTCTTCAATAACTCAAAATTATATTTTTAAAAGTATGTGAATGTGTCAATTGATAAGTAGGGAAGGCTGTTTCAAGCCTGAAGATTAAAAGATAAATTATAGGAAAGTAAAGATAAATGATGTATATATAAGTTAACTTCAGATAAGCAAATGAAGGGGATGGGCGTGGGCATTCATTGATGTTGATCTTTTTTTTTTTTTTTAACTTAAAACTATAGCAATAATCCCAGTGTGAAAATTTACATATGCTCAAGACCTCAGACGTATTTTTATAAGTCTCATTTGAAAAAAAATCAGTAATCAGAGAATAGTCATGAGTTCAGATAAAACTGGCCCTTTATGCTCACAAAATGTTGTATTTTATTACTGCTTATATTATTCATGCGTTAGAGCTATATTTGTTTTTCACTATAATGATTGCTTAAATGAACTATTTATATCTTTAAATAAATGTTAATTTTTTTCAAATAATTATGACATTGGTTTCTATGTAATAAAATTAATCAATAGGGCTGGCGTTGTTGCTCAGTGGTAGAGTGCTCGCCTAGCAGGCATGAGGCACTGGGTTCAATCCTCAGCACCACATAAAAATAAAATAAAGATTTTGTGTTCACCTAAAACTAAAAAATAAATATTTTTTTAAAAAGTGAATAGAATCTTTTTAGTTTCTTTGTTATTATATATTTTCATGGTGCTAGGAAATAAAAGAATATGTTTTCCTGTATCTTAGTTTGTAAATTTATAAGAAAAATGTTCTGTTAAATCACCATATCCCTCTCAGTTTTAAAAAGGAAAATATTGAGGTAAAAATCCATCCAGCTTGAAAAGTGAAGAAACTATTTGTGAAGTTCAATGAACCTTCATTAAAAATTAATTAGTTCCTAGAAATTAGCAATGCATACTGAGCACCCAGGTCCAGGAACCATTTTTGTTATCTCCATATTCAAACTTAAGTTTTGTGTCTCTTTATCCCAAGTTTTGTGTTTTCTCCCAAAACTCTTTCACATCTTTGATAACATAAGTTCACAGTGCCACCACTCAGCTATAGATAGCATATCAGTTGACTCTTAAAGGTTCATGAAATTGTAGTTATTTCTTAAGTCTAGAAGGAATGTAGTGAATGTGGATTTGTCCAAAAATTGCATTATTACTATAGAGAGAAGATGGGGAAGGATACAGAGATATGAGAATGTGTTAAAATCCTCATAAAATCTAAATAACCAGCTTTAAATGGATATTGTATAAAATTGATTAATCAAGATGAAACCATATATACACATTACTTAGAAATATACAGGGTAATTAGTAGAGTAACTACAAATTTTGAAAACATCTCTAGGAAATGGAAAAAGAAGGTAGCAAGGTTAATTGTTTTGTTTATTTTTGGTTAATAGCCTAACAATGACTAGTATTACTTTGTTAAAATTAAATTAATATTATATCTTAATAAATAGCAATTCTAGTTCCCAAAATATCACAGCCTTTAAATAAATGTATTAAAGAGGTAATTTTTATTAATAATGAGCAAATCCCTGAAATATATGTTGGTATTTTGTGTATTTAAGACATTTGTATAGCTAGAACTAGAATCCTAAATCATGCTGAGTACCTGGAAGTATTAGTAGAGTACTATGTTCTCCATGTAAAAAAATAGATCATTTTAAAAACTCATCCAAACTAATTAGAACAAATAAAAAATTTATCCTAGTTTAATTTCATTTACTAACAGCAAAAAACAAGGCAAAACTTTCTTCAGATACAAGGTAAGGCAATTTGAAAACACAAATGCAAAAAGCACAGTTAGTAAATCTGCTAATGATCCTTAATATTATCTGTTAAGACATTATCATGTAGCTGCTAGAATGTAACCTCAATAGATCAAATTTCTCATGTATCTTGTCTTTCTGGAGCCTAGAAGAGAGTTGGTGTATAATATGGGAATGAAATATATTTGTTAAATGATTACTGAAACTCAGTAATATTTTGTTTTGAATATCACATCATTTAAGAAGAAAACTAATTGATGAGTTTTTCCTAAAATATAATATATACTTATGCAAAATTAAATAGAATATAACTTTTTCCTCTTGAACCTATGCCTATTGGTAGAACATGCATGAGTCTTTTGGTAGGTATGCTTCTTTGTGAGAAAGATAATGGAAAACATACTCAATTTGCTTATTATTCCTTAGGCCTACTACTACTGTGCCATCATAGAGGATGTGATACTACGCTTTGCTTGGACTATCCAAATCTCAATTACCTCTACAACTTTGTTGCCTCATGCTGGGGACATCATTGCTACTGTCTTTGCTCCTCTCGAGGTTTTCCGGTAAGCAAACCATTGAAAAGTTTATCAAAGATTCTTTCTACCAAAAAGATGCCCAGTACTTACAAATTAGAATTTAATATAACTTATTTTTGAAAAGTTTAAATTTCCAACTTTTCTCAAACTTCTCATCAGCCCCAGAGTTGGAAAATCCTATCTAAAAGACTTAGAGGTTAATTCTTTCTTTTTTTTTTTTTTTTTTTTTTCTTTTTTGGTACTGGGGATAGAACTCAAGGCACTTGACCACTGAGTCACATCCCCAGCCTTGTTTTGTATTTTATTTAGAGACAGGATCTCACAGAGTTGCTTAGGACCTCACTTTTTGCTGAGGCTGGCTTTGAACTCGCGATCCTCCTGCCTCAGCCTCCTGAGCCTCTGGGATTACAGGCATGCACCACCACACCTAGCAGAGGTTAATTCTTATAGTTAAAATAATTATTGATGATGATTTAAAGTTTTTTTTTTTTATTCATTTGAGAGTGATAAATTAAAATTGGGTGTTAAAAAGAAATTTAAATATTTTGGGACTATATTTTGCAATTTGGTAGCCTCAGTTATTCAGACAAACTTTCTCACTTGAAAGCAGCAAAAATGCTGGATAAAAGATTCAATATGGGGGCTGTGGTTGTGGTTTGGTGGTAGAGCGCTTGCCTAGCATGTGTAAGGCACTAGGTTTGATCCTCAGCATCACATAAAATAAATAAATAAAATAAAGGTATTGTGTCCATCTACAACCAAAAAAAATTAAAAAAAAAAAAAAAAAGGTTTAATAAGTCTTCCGAAAGTATCAGTGATCTGCCAAAATAGCACAAAATCTAAGTGAAAATAGGAACCCCAAGATAAACAGAACACTAAAGCTACTTTTGCACTTCTAAAAATTTACTAGATCTGATGGCTTTGGGATTCAGAGTGATTTAACGTGATTTACATATATAGAACATTGCATCCATAAACTACTACACAAACATTTTTCTAAATGCATATAGGACACTTACCAAAATTAAGCACATATTGTGCAATAAAAGAAGTCACAACAGATTTCAGATGATTCAAATCACAGAAAGATAAAATTCCCAAATGTTTAGAAATTTATAACCTGAGGATCAAAGTTGAAATTGTAATGCAAATGTCAGAATATCTTGAATAGAATGAAATTAAAAATATAACAAAAGGAAAATATCAACTGAAGTTAAAGCCAGGCTTAGAGGGTGTGTATATTGGAAAAATATATAGTGTAAGAAATTAAAAAAAAAAATACTAAAACAGCAGGTCAAACCCAGAAGAAAATATGAAGAATAGAAATTGATGGAATAAAGAAAAAAAGGCACAAATTATTTTAAAAATCCTAAAGACTTCTTTTTTTTAAAGAGTAAGATGATATTAGAAGCATCTTTATGTCTTAAATTTAAAAATTTAGACAAAAATGGCCAAATTCCTCAAAAAGCATAATTCACCAAAACCAATGAAGAAGGAAACAGAGAAGCTGGTAAACTTGAATATATTAAAGAAATAAAATTCTTACTAAAGTACCTCCCACAATAAAAACTCCAGGCTCAGGGAATTCTTCCAAATATTTGAAGGTGAAATATTACCCTTTACTAAGAAGATGCTTCAGAGAAAAAGGACAAAAAAAAGGTAACACTTTTCAGTTTGTTTTTGTGAAAAAGCATGACTTTATTACTTAAACCTATAAAAATATTCTAAGAAAATATACTAATCTGTCTCAACCACTGTATTGTCTTTGCAATATAGTCTCAAAAGTTCTAATAAAATATTAGGTAATGAATCCAGCATATTAGGTTCATCTAGAAATATAATACTTAACATTCAAAAATTAATATAGTTTACTACTTTAACTGAATAAAGTGGTGGGGGGTGCAGAGAACCTCTCTGTTAAAAATCAGTACCTGGCCGGGACTGTGCGACTGTCGTCCCAGATACTTGGGAGGCTGAGGTAGGACTTGCACTTAGGAGTTCAAGGTGAGCCTGGGCAATACAATAAGGCTCTGTCTCAAAAAAGAAAAAAGAAAGAAAGAAAGAAATTTTAATCAATATTCAACACCTGTTCATGAAAAAAATATTTTCCACATAAAACACTATGAAATATCCCTTGAGCTTAGGAATGAGGTAGGAATTTACCATCACCATTTCTATTTAACATTTTGCTCTAAGTATGACTGGTATAGTGAGGAAAAAATTTAAAATAAGGATTAGAAAGAAAAAAATAAAACTACTCACTGACATGATTACATATACATAAAGTTCAAACGAGTTTACAAATAAATTATTACATTTTTCCCTACCCCTCAATACAAGGAATACATTTGAATAACATTAGAATATATCAATTACCTAGACATAAATCTAATGAAAAATTTATGTGTGTAAAAATTGATAATTTATATGGAATCATAAAGGATCAAGAATAGTCAAAACTATCCTGAAAAGAACAAGATTAAAAATTTATACTCTCAGATACAAACTGATCATGTAACTATAGTGAATAAAATAGTGTACTATGTTGATGAAAGGAAAGTCCACTGAAACAGAACAGGGAATTTAGACGCATACCCATGTATATATTGACACTGCCTGATTTATGTCAAAGATAGCTACATAACATAGGAGAAAGACCTTTTTTAAAAAATGAGTCAACTAACACCTGTAATCCTAGGGAGTCAGGAGGCTGAGGCAGGAGGACCACAAGTTTAAGGCTAATCTTGGCAACTTAGTAAGGCCCTAAGCAACATAACAAGACCCTGTCTTAAAATATAAAAAGTTTTAAAAGGGCTTGGAGATGTAGCTCAGTGGTAAAGCACCCTGAGTTCAAACCCCAGTCCACCCTCTCAAAAAAATGAGTCAACTGGATATCCATATGGAAAAAAATGAATATTGAATTCTACTGTATACTGTATACAAAATCAAGTTAGCATAGTAGGGTGCTCTAAAGGTAGCTTTCAGTGAGTTATATGGTAATTAATAAATTTCATATTTCTAGATATTAATTACGTAAGATTTTCATTTGATGATAATTAAGCTTGCATACTTCTGATTTGCAAACTTTTATATATGTATATTATATAAAATAAAAATGCTTATTTTAAAAAAAGCAGCCAGAAAGATTACCTTTAAAGCAGTGGCAGTAGACTAACAGCTGACTTCTCAACAGCAACAATGAAAGTCAGAAATCATTAAAATGAAATCTTCAGTGTGCAGAAAAGAAAATGAGAACTCTTCACCCAGTGAGAATTTTTCACAAATGAAATGATACTAAGATATTCTCAGATAGGTGTATAACATTTCTGAGTCAGGGTGGGCATACACTACCTGATAAAAATGTAATCAAAGCTGGAAACATAAAACTAAAAGCCTGTAAGTTAAAGAATAACTCTGGAATCGGTGTTCTTGTAGCTGTCAGTGTTCTCTCCAGACCATTTTTCCCCTTCCTTCCCTTCTTGACTCTCCCAAATATCTAGGTCTAGGGCCTGAATCCTACATCATGCCACCATCTCTTCCACCCACTTCTTTTTTTCATATGCTACTTTGTAAATTAAATATATATATATTTTTTTTAAAGTTTTTTTTAAATTCTTGGTAGTCTTTTTTAAGAAATCATTTGCTTGGTGGATATGTTCAAAGTATGTTATTTGCATGTATGAATATCCACAGTGAAACCCATAATTTTGTATAATTCAAATGCAACAATAAAAAAGAAAATTAAAAAAAATGTAAAGAACTCATTTGCTTAATTTTCTGTCACCCATTTAAAACAAAAACAAAACACTTTAGAATCTTCTTACCCCCTCCAACTTTGCCCGTCTATCTGTTCTTCTTTATGACAAAATTCTTCAAGAAATGTCTACACTTCCTGTCTCCACTCCCTCTCTCTCCATTTTTATCATCTGCTATTCAAATATTTGTTCCCAATATTCAAACTATACCATTTTTATTAATAACTGTACTAATGATGATGATGATAGAGCAAACGCTATATGTAGTACCAGTTATGTCTCTGGCACTGTTCTAAGCTCTTTATAATTAATAAGTTATTGAATCCTCACAACAGTTTTATGAAGTAGCTTCCATTATCCCATTTTACCGATGACCCTGAAACATAGGCTAAGAAACTCATCCAAGATCATTATAGCTAGTAAAAAAAGGGAAGGAAAGCAGCAGGGATCCCAGTATACTCTTAAGAGCAGGCCCACAATGAGGATATTTTTCTCCATGACTTGCTTACTTATATTCAGATTTTTTGCTAGATGCATACAACTCTCCTTCACCAGCCATATGTCACACTTTATGCCCTTTTCCTGCTTTACTTTCCCCAGCTTTTCATCAGTTGATTTTTATATCTGTCTTCACCATAAAATAAGAACAAAGGTTTTATCTATCTCATTCAATGCCTTTTCCTCCCTTCAGTTGGCATTCAGTAAATATTTGTTGGATGAAGTGAAAGAATGAGTAGTCTAAAACTGCTTTCCTTTTGCATAGTCCACTCTTATTTTCCCACCTCTATGCTGTCTTTCTCCATTTCATTTAAATATTCTAGCTCTTAATTCCTTGTTTTGTTTTCATCAGTAAAAACTTGATATTCTGGGAGCTTTACAGATAGTAGTAGTATATTCAACTTTTATAATTAGTGTGTTTGCTCTACCCCATTTTGCTAAGGCGGTTTGTGTGGAACTTTTTCCGCTTGGAAAATGAACATCTAAATAACTGTGGTGAATTTCGTGCTGTGCGAGACATCTCTGTGGCCCCCCTGAACGCAGATGATCAGACACTCCTAGAACAGATGATGGATCAGGATGATGGGGTACGAAACCGCCAGAAGAATCGGTCATGGAAGTACAACCAGAGCATCTCCTTGCGCCGGCCTCGCCTCGCTTCTCAGTATGTATAGCTGCTACTAGTGTAAGGCATTCCTCTGTTTTTTAGCATTAAGTAACATTAGACTAAGAAGCTATCAAATTAACAATGGTTAAATGCCTGAATGAAATTACAGGCATTTAACCATTGTTCACCTACAAAAAAAGTAATAGCAGTTTCATATGATCCAACTTACAGAATGTCTTAGCGCATATAGGGCCGGGTTGTGGTTCAGGGGTAGAGCACTTACTGAGTATGCATGAGGCACTGGATTCAATCCCGCACCACATAACAATAAACAAAATAAAGGTGTTGTGTCCATCTACAATTAAAAAATATTTCTTAAAAAAGAGTAAATGTTATTAGTGCACTAATGGACATTACAAGGTACACTGGGGACAAAATTGTTGGGGAAGGATTTACTTGACTCTTCAGTAGTTTTGTATAAAACTTATACAGTTATAAACTGTAGGAATCGTGTCATCTTTATAGCCTTGATTAAATTCCTTAATATTATCTCTCTTCTATAAATTGGGATTAATACAGCCTGTGCTCATACAGTGATTAAGAGGATTAAGTTCATTATCACATGGAACTTACTCCAGTTCCTTCACAGAAAGTCCCCAATAAATATAAGCAATGACTATTTTATCTTATTAAATACCTACAATATTTTTATCAGTCATTTACTTTGTATGTTCCCAAAATAATAAATGTAGGATATATGGTGACTGCATTTGAAGTTTAGAGATAGTGGATAGCACAGTAGACTGAAATGAAGGAGGAGATTTAAGAATGAGCAGCAGTTTGGAGATGGATAAGGAGTGTTTGAATAGGCTAGAGACTCCGTGAAGACTATCAAGGTAGAAACAAGGGGCAGAAAGGAAAACCATGTGACAGAACTATAATGAGAAAATTTTAGTTGACTAGATGAAATATCATCAAAGATCAAAAAGTAAAAGCTTGATCTTGTACATGGGGGAAAATCACATTTTTTTCATAGAAGAAAGGTAAGTAGCACAGCAGGCTGGAAGAAAATGCTGTATATAGTCTAGAGTCTTGTTGAGCTCCTGATTTTGAAAGTCTAATCCTTATTAGTTACCAGCAGAGGGCAATCTGAACATACACTATTTCTGTTTGAAAAACACACAGACCCTTTGGCAATAAATAATATTCAATTTCAGGTGTTTAGTGGGAAAACGTTGAGAATTTAGGTTGCAACCAAGGAAAGACATTTAGATTGGAATAGGTTTTGTGTGATGGAGAGAGAGAAGGAAATCTAAAATAAGATCTTAGTTCTGACTTTATGACTCATGCAACCTTTAGCACATCCTTAACCTTTTGAATTAAATTTCCCCTTCTGTCAAGTAGGAATATTAACTGTTATTTCCCCAGTTGCTACTTGACTTCATGGACTCTTAAGAAGTTCCAGAATACTTTAATGTTACCTAATCCCATTTTTCAGCCAGTTTAGGAATCCCTTCTCTATAAAATGAATAGATGATCATTTTATGCTGATTGAAAATCAATAGTGTTAATGAACTGTATAATAATCTGAGGGACCTGGTTTTATTGTTGGATAATTATAGCAGTGGATAGATTATATTGGGTTGAAATGTATGTCCTTATGATTAAACTATGACTTCATCAGTTTGATTCTCATTGGGCTCTCTCACATGAGTCTCCTCCCTCTTCTGCATCAGGCTTTGCCAACTATTTGAAGACAAACAACTATCATGCCTTTCCTTAGGTCTTGTCTTCTGCTAGCCAGCTCCTAATTTTTCAGGCATACTTCAAATGGTATTCTTTCTTTCATCCTGATTTATTTGTTTATGCTTTATTGATTTTTACATCTATTTTCTCACCTGATATGCATACTGAACATAGGGTAAAAGGGATATTAAGTGAAATAGTTATTTTTATTCCTTCTTTAGAGATATGGAAAGGGGCACTCAAAAGAGTTTAATGTCATAAATCAAAAGTCAGTGCTCAAACTCAGATGGTCCTATTCAAATTTCTTCTCTGTTAAACATGTCCTGCTATTGTTCTTATTACATTCCTCTTAGTGTTTTTCTAATAATGCCAGAAATTGAGCATATAACTTCAGGAATAGACCATCTTGTGCAGTAGATGGTACCTGTTATATTATATTATTATATATATTAATGGTGGTGAGATTAGAAATGTACCTAACATTGTGAGTGTGTGTGTTTATAATGTAGTAATGAACTAAATGCTTTTCTTTCCCTTTCTTACCACCAGATCCAAGGCTCGTGACACTAAGGTATTGATAGAAGACACAGATGATGAAGCTAACACTTGAATTCTCTGAAGTCTAGATTAACATCCTTGGTTTTCCTACTCTACAATTCTTTCCTCGACCAACGCAACCTCTAGTACCTTTTTCCAGCTGAAAACAGGAGAAAACACGTAACACATTTTCCGAGCTCTTCCAGATCGGATCCTATGGACTCCAAACAAGCTCACTGTGTTTCTTTTCTTTTCTTCTGGTTTAATTTTAATTTTCTATTTTTAAAACAAATATTTACTTCATTTTGCCAATCAGAGGACGTTTTAAGGAACAAAAACATTGTACCTTATGGATTGTTTACAATCACAAGGACACAGATACCTATCAGGAAGAACAGGCACTGCAAGGACCTTCTGATGGGATGGTACTGAGATAGCTTGGCTTCTGCTTGGCCCGGTTTTGACTGGTTGAAACCGGACATTGGTTTTTAAATTTTTTGTCAGTTTATGTGGAGAATCTTTTTCCTTTCCTTCATACCCAGCGCAAAGGCACTGGCTGCACTTGCAGGGAAAGTGCAACTTGGAGCAGTACCTTCATTCATGAAGCTACTTTTTAATTTGATGTAACTTTTCTTATTTGGGAAGGGTTGCTGGGTGGGTGGGAAATATGATGTATTTGTTACATATAGTTTTCTCATTATTTATGAAATTAACCATAAAAGAATGCTATAACTCCTGTGCAATGAAAGTGATAACAGTGAAAGAAGATGGGGGAAACTAATGTGGATGACATTTATGAGGGTCAGTCCCACATACCTCTTTAGGGAGACAACTTGCACCAGTTTGACTTTTTTTTTTCTTTTCAATTTAAGCCAAAGTTTTATTACTAAATTTTTAAGTTGCTGCTGCTGTAGAGTATCTCTCATAACAAGGCATGTATTTCACACACTTTTACCCCACTGATTGAAATTTATTACATAAGAGAATCTGATACTTTTTCGTTTAGGAATATTTACTCATATTCCAACCATAACAACTGAAGTTACACTTTATTATGCTTCAGCATGTAGGGTGATTGTAGTGTAATCCTTACTAACTCTGGAAAGCAGGGCTATTTTACTCCCTTTTTAGACAGTTTTTCCTCTGGTCTCACCCATTTAAGCCAGAGTCTGATCAAATTAAAAGTCCAATAATGGGATATTTTTGAGCATGTGAAACAAATTATCCTTCCTCCTTCATATTACATTTATACAGAAGATCTTGGCAGCCATTTCTCCCAGAAGTGTTAATGCAGGAATTTCATGCCCTCCCATGATAGAAACCTGCTTTTAAATTTTTGAGGGCCTAAAACTAGTCAGACATAAAACATATATTTCTTAGAAATTTCAGTCTATGATAGTCTGTATGCAGTGCCCATTTTCACTTTTTTGTCCCATTTATTCCCTTTCTTCCCAAATAAGCCCTGAAACTATAAGACATTTTACTTTCTTGAATATAATTAGCATTAAATCTATCATCTCAGGCCTGGTGAGGAGTGTAGCTCAGTGGTAGAATGTCTGCCTAGCATGTACAGGACCCTGGGGCTCAGTCTGCAGCCTGGCAAAAATAGTTAAAAATAGCATTTCATTATCTAACAAAATTAACATAAATACCAGGAAAAAGTAAAGTGTGTTTTAATTACCCCTCCAAGACGCAGGTGAAGATTCCAGAGTCACCATCTGTAGACTCGTTAACTTGAACTTACTTCTGTCATTTTCAGCTTCATTTAAGTCAAAGGAACAAATAAGTAGGAAGGCAGCTGTTGTCACTTGCTTTGTCTTAAAAACAAATGGCTACTGCCCTTTAGTTCACCCCTTTTGTCACCAGCTCTTCTTGTGTGCATCATAAATCTTTACTCAACCCTTGTCATAATTCCAGTAGATTACATTAAAGTCACTGTTATTACCAAAATTATTCTAATTAACTGACAGTTTCTTTTAAAAGAAGTTTCTTCCATCTTTATTCTGACAACTCTCCAAAATTATTTCCCTTTGTTCCCTTTCTGAATCAAGATTTTTTTTTCTGGAAAAAAAAAATCATACAATTTTGTGGCCTCTATTGCTTTTTTTTTGTTTGTTTTGCCAAGTATGCCCCTTGTCCCAAAACTGAAGAGAAAGTGCTTATTTAAAAAAAAAAAAAATTAAATTAATTGAATCCTTGATAATAATCAGTGGTACCAATTTAATGATCCTTGTTGGATTAAAGACTGCATTTTTCTATTTAAGATTTTTTCCCCTGATTATTCTGGGTTTTGTACTTTAAAACTATGAGGGAGATATCACTGGTCTGTCAAGCAATAGCAGTAATTATCCTGAGGATATAGAGAAAGTCCAGTGACCAGTCATCTCTTATACAAATAAAATTGGTGATATTAATGTGTATCCAGAGCCATTTGAATTGTCAGCTTCATTCTCTATTAGTAAATTTAGATGATGTCACACACACAATCTTACACTTAGCTTCTGGTATTTCAACCCCCCAGTGTTTCTACTTCAGTGTATCCTATGGCCGTTTCTGTCTTTCTCCAACTCTTATGATTCTAGGCTCTCATCCACATTACTTCTTAATATAAAATACAATAATAGAATGTATTCTCTGCTACATTTGTCCTACTGGCGTAGTCTACTCAAAAATAGGTGTATGTAACTTTCAGCTTATCATGACAGATGCTCAAATATGTATTTAAACACACAGCTCCACATTCCTTTTAAAGCTGTAAATAGAAAAAAGGAATTTTCCTCATCAAGAGACTTTGGAAGACAAAGTATATATTTAAATTTTTTCCTTCAAAAAAGTCTATATTCATTTTTCTCTCCTCAGTTGTATATGCCTAAGCAGTGTGAATGCTCTGTCCTACCTAAAATTTTACTGGAGACTCCTGTACACTGAAACTCTCAATGGCTTTCTTAAAAATAACTGTCACAGAGTCATTTTACAGTCTAACCAAAGGTGAAAGAAACTCGATCTGATTTTAGGTTTAAAATTCTAGTTTTATTTTTAAGAGCCACTCAATTTTTAATATCAGTTAAAATCCTACCCCAGAAGAATGAAAAGGAAGGTGTTTAATAAAAAATTAAAATTCATTTTTTATTTTATGATAATATGGAGAGCATTGATGTACATAGAGAAATGGAAAAACAGAAAAGTGGTTTATTTGTTATGCACAAATGAGTGCCTATATTTAAGACTGCCCATACCATTATAACAAATAATTGGCAATTTCATATCATATAGAGAATAAAATGGTCAAAGATGAAGTCATCATTAATCATGATGGTCATTTTTAATTTGGAAAGAAGTTGAAACCCTACTGCAATCTTCTTTTCCAATACTTTGTTGTTAGACTCCTTAAGTGAACTGCGTAAGTTCAGATTCAGAAGCAAGGGTGTAGGAGGAGAATGCCAGTAGAGACCAGTATAAACCCTTAAGGAAGGAGAATGGGGATCCACAATTCCTAAATATACTAGACATGAGATTTCTACTATTTAACTGAGCTCTTACTATGGCAATTTGTTGATACATTGTATCTTTGCACCATGGTTTGACTGAAGTACATTCACAACTAGAGAAAACAATTCATCCATTTCTGAAGTGATAAACTAAGGCAAGATAAGAATAGAATAAAGTCACCTGGTACTGAGTCAAACAGCAGATTACTCCTCTTCAACTAAAGGTCTGTTGTTAAATTAATTTTGGAAATAGCAAAATACAAGAGGATATTGGCCCTTGGCAGCAGAAGCAGGGTGGCGTAGGAGGTACGTGAGCTTAGTATGCAGGTGTTAATCTCCATCCCTCACCAATAGTTGTTATGCTGCCCAGAAAGAGCTGCCTTTACTCTCCTATCATTATTTTCCATTACTTTGCATTATTCACGAAATTGTTCTATATCCCCACGTGAAATTTTCTAAGCAGGTAACTAGAACATTTTCTTATTCTAAAGAAAAGAATTCAGAAAATAACCCTATCCATAGTGTTATTTTATTCAGAAACTTGGGATTCTTGGAAATGATTACCACTATATTTGATAAACAGGTTTCAGGTTATTGTTATTTTAACAGTTTGCATAAAAGGTGCCTAATTTTCAAGAAATAAGTACTTCTTACTATAAACAACATATTGAATTTTTTAAATTAAAATAGCTTCTTAGGTTAAAGCAAAATCATGTTGAATCCGTGGCTCTCTCAACTACAAAAATCACCATACTTTTCTCAAATCTAATAAGAAACCAGTACATTACAGATAATATCTAAAGTGACCAGGTGAAATAGAAGTTTTGGTAGGACTTTTGAAAAAGGTAAAGAAAAATAAATTATATCAGCTTAGGTTTTTTTTTCCTCATTGATATAAATTTTTTTTTCGCTCGTCATTTTAAAGTTTTCTCAATTACTTATACATACACTTCTGCATTTCAAATGTCAGTCTTGATACTAAATCTTAAAAGCTCCTGACTTTCTGTATTGTATTTCAAGTCTTTTTGTTAGGGCAATGGTGATATGGGTTAGAGTTAATTGTATTATAGCATAAGAATTGTCTGCTGTTCAGTGTTACGGATCAACAATTTCTAACCAGCATTAACCACACACCAGTCAACAAATATGAAAAAGTAAAAGCATCTCATTAGGTTTGGAAAAGCTTAAGTTAAGCAACATAGGATCTTGCCTGGGAATGGGAAAGAACCTGCTGATTGGTATGGCTCCTGAAACCTTTCTTTTACCGACTGTCAAAACTCTGGCACTGAGTTGCCCCTCAGAAACAATCTTTCAGAACAATATTTCTTACTTAGGGTGGAAGAGGAAGCATGAGGGACAAGAGTTTTCCCTGAAGGGGGGGAAATCGTTATGCTAATTTTCCTCTGAAGTGTTTCCTTGTAGCAAAACTTTGGCCTATTTATTATTAAATCAATGCTACCTTCAGTTTTTTTGTACGGTGCCATCAACTGAAGGACAATCAAATAACCTGTTGTCTGCCTTGGATTCAGTATGTCTGCTAGCTACACAGTTTCACCTTGTGTACCTTCAAAACAGTTATGTTACTTGCCTTCTATTCCCTTTTCTCTGTAACATGGCAAATCAGAGGACAGACTGCAGCACTACTAGATAGATGTGGACTTCTAAGAGAGAGCAAGGATTCCACCTCACTGTCCCTTGATTGTTACCTCAGGTCCCTGCCTGCATTTCCCTGATTGTCTGTAGCAACACCAGCATGGTGGGAACAAGGAGAAATTGTGGGAAATCACTGAAGAGTAATTATTCATGACATTTATTGCTCCAAACTGTGCGGTAAAATTGTGAGCCACTCAGTTCATTTACTACAAACTAAGCTTTATCAGATTGTAAAGATTAATTTCTAGCCATTTTCTGCATTAGCACAGAAGCTTGTATCAATGAAGAGTATTTAGGAGAGGAACGGGGTGGGAAAATGTATTTTTCTTTTCAGACCCTCTCCCTCTGTTTCCTTCACATACCCAACCTCCTCCACGCTGTGTTGGTAAATGATACTATGAAACCCTGAACGACCCTTGTCAAAGTAACTATGGATTGTGATTAGTCCTCTGTGGGTGCTTCTTTCTTTCTCTCTTTTTTCTCCCTTGCTTTCTTTCTTACTCTCCACTCTAGTAAATGGAAAAGGTGACGTCAAAGAACTGATGCTTGCTTGGACCATGATGTATCTGTGACTGTGCTCTTAGCTGTCTCCTTTTTCCTTCTTATATGGGTAGAATTCTTAAGACGTGGATTTCCCTTCTTGATAAGTAGGTTAAATGCACAATGTGGTACTGTTTTATAGTTTCTAGATGGTTGTATAAAGCAAAAGTTAATGTGGTTATGTGTTTTTAAAAGAAAATAAGTGATTGGTTACAAAACTTTGTCCTTTTTTCATTATTACAAGCTCTCTGTTTTCCAATAGTTTGCTGACTCCTTTGTCACTAGTGAATGGTTTGTCTTACTGTGGTTTTCTCTCTGGGAGTCTCTTTTTTTTTTTTTTTGGTACCAGGGATTGAACTCAGGAGCACTTGACCACCGAGCCACATCCCCAGCCCCATTTTGTATTTTATTAGAGACAGGGTCTCACTGAGTTGCTTAGTGCCTCACTTTTGCTGAGGCTGCTTTGAACTCACGATCCTCCTGCCTCAGCCTCCCAAACCTTTGGGATTACAGGCATGTGCCATGATGCCTGGCCTGAGAGTCTTAAATTCTTGAACTTGGTTCCCCTTGGGACTTACTAGCATATAAGTTTAGGGAAAACAGACTACCATGGTGAAATTTTTTTTTAATTATTTTACTAAATTAAAAAATAATTTTAAAGGGCCTTTTACATGAGATATGACTCTAAAGCAATGAGATTAATCCAACAAATTTGGTGGGGTTTTTTTTTTTTTTTTTTAGTAACTCACAAAACAAAGGATCTCAAGTATTAGGTGAAATGATATGTTTAATTACATCTTGGAAAGCTGGACACTTGTCACAACGTTTCTGTGCCCTATGTGGGAGCATAGCATTTTCTGCTGAATTCCTCAACTAGTACTTCCAAGATCTGTCTAGAAAAAAATTATAAAATTACCTGGCCATAAGATGAATATTCCAAAAATTGAAAAGAGTAAAGTAATTTATTAAGTAAAGCATTAAAGCCTTTTCAGGAGCCTGGTGCAGTGGCACACAAAGCAGAAGGATCACAAGTTCAAGGCCAGCCTGGGCAAGTTTGCAAGACCCTGTCTCAAAAGAATTAGAGGGCTGGGGATGTAGCTCATGAAAAAACACACCTGGTTTCAGTCCCCAGTGCAGGGGCGGGGGGTACTTTTTATTTTATTTTAATACCAGAAGCTCTGTTTTTCCTATAGTTCTACGTAGGCTGAACAATAATGTAATTAATATGGAGATTCCAAGCCAAAGTCAAGATAGGCTATGAATATGAATCACTTGATACTGAACACTCTTTCTACAGTTTGATAACATACTCAACGCTGAATGCCTGTAGTCTTACATTTTCCAAATAGATAGCATTGAAGTTTCATGGGGATTAATGAACCATTGAGTTTCTTTATGAAGAAACAAATACTAGAGCAGAGCAGGTTTGATAGAGGACAGTTTTTTATGTGGAAGTGTTCCCGAGACATAGAATTTAACTCCCTAGCTAGGATCCAGGATTTGGTGCAAACTTGCTACTAACATGGCCCCTGGAGGCACGGAAAATGTGATGGCCTGGGCTGAGCAAAGTTGAAATTCCAGTCAGGGAGGTGGGAACAGTGCAGGAAGGGAGGTGGGCCATATTGTGCGGGAAGAGGTAGAGGAATAGAAATGATCACACATCTTGTACAAATCTGGTCCCTGAAGAAGCTAAATGAATTAGGGGGAGTGATTAGATGCAGCACCAGATGTGGTGTTCTTTTCTAATCAAAACAATCAGAAATGGTTCACATTTCCATGAAAATAACAATATACATTAATAGTTTTGCTCCAAAGAGCCATGGTAAGTCCAAAGAGATCTGGACCAGATGAACATCCTCAGAATATCACATTGATTACATCAATGACACTGTTAATTGGGTGGGTTGAGCAAGAGGTGGCTAGCATGCTGGAGACAAGTAAGATATGCATGAGCCAGAGGGTTGGAAATTAAACCTGGAAACATTAGGAACCTGTCAATGTTTTCATGGGTCTAGTAATCAGACATCATGCCCAAAGCAAATTATTAAATTGTACCTCCTGCTATGAAGAAGATGGCACAGCATAGATAAGCCTCAAATTCTTACCATATTCCACTCCATCCTTGCTCTTTCTTGTTCTGGGACCCATCTTTGAATCCAGAACAAGAAAGGTCTCTGCAGTTGGCCTAGGCCTTCATGCAAGCGATCCTGCAGCTTATGATCTACAGGCCCTGTGGAAGTACAAACGGTGGGAAAGTAGGGAGTCTGCGGCAAGCCGTAGTGAAAGCCTCCCATACTGCAAGGCCCTCAGGCTTCAGAGCAAGACTGTGCCATGCAGTGAAGAATGGTATACCTTTGAAAGACAACTCCTAACCTGGTAAAGAATGTCTGATCATAGGTCACCAAGGACCTAGTGGCTAGAACTTCCCAACAAATGCTGTTTCCCATCAGCAGATCCAGCCACAATCCGCCATAAGATGGAAGTGATACCTCCAGGATTGAGCACGAGCAGGATCAGAGGGCATAAGCAGATATCTAAACCTCCCTGTCACCTGCCAATTTATTGCACCAAAGCTCCTCCCTTAGGACACACCGATGGCATTATCCTATAAGACCTGCTGAAAGAAAAGGAAAAAATCCTTAGTTTGTTTTATGGGTGGGTCAGCTCCACACGGGAGTGATGCAAGCTGCAAGATGAAATCAGATGGTAGTTAAAAAAAAAAAAAAATCCTCCCAGTGGTCAGAGTTTTGAATAGAGCACCTCCCCTCCACTCAGGGAAAAAGGAGTGATGTAAAGTCTGCATATTAGTGGCAAATGGCCCATCTTCCTGGTCAGAAAAAGTAGATCAGGGAAGGGAGTCTGGGGTAGAGGTATGTGGACAGACTTACAGAAGCAGGAAGATTCATATCCTACCAAAAGTCATGCAGCTATCACTGACTAAAAACTGAATAGCCAAGTGGTGGCCTCAACCCACTGATTCAGCCAGCCTCTGTCATTGGCCACTCCAATGTTGATACAATGGTTAGATGAACAAAGTGGCTGTGGTGGCAGAGATGGTAACTATTCACAGGCAACAGCAGACAGTGTCATTTAGTAAGACACTAATTTGTCTACTGCTGCTACCAAAGTCCTCAACATGACACAATTTCTGAAGAAAACCAACCAGCCAAGTCTCATCAGCAAAATGAGACCTTGCCCTCCTGGAAGGCCCAGCAGTTTATTCTTAATTCTCACAAGAACAGGCAAACATTTGCTCTTCCTAATCAGAGCTTCACCCTGAATGACCTTCCAAAGCCTTAGAGAATGTTGGATCCACTGTTGTGGGGTTCCATATAACACCACCTCAGACCAGAGATCCAACTTGACAGCCATAGGTGGGGTGACAATGAGCCCATGAAAATGGGATTTAGTGATGGTTGCACATAATGCACCACCTGAAAGGCACCGGAATGGTATACTGATGACATGAACAAGACTCCATGAGCATGAGTGACATTCTGCAAGAGTCAGTGTATGCATTGAATTAAGGACTCCATTACTATACCCCCAAGGATGGACACCTGGATCTAAGTAGCATGAAGTGGACCAAGTAGCCCAACTCACTGTCATGGCCACTAATTCACTTTCTCTTTCTGTCCCTTTATCTTTGAGCTGCAGAGTGGGAATTCCTGGGCCTCTTGCATTGAGAGGTAGGGATCTTTAGGTTGCCCGTGACCAGGGCTTCTAGTGATCAGGGCCAATTACCCTACCAAAATGAAGTCACTCTCTGCCTGTGGGTCTACTATTACACAATGAGAAAAAGGAGGAATATATCTGGTACATAGATGTAGAAAAAAATGTCATGTTGAGCCTGGAGATGACATGGTTTTGTTTTCAAAAACAAACTCAGGATTGTAGTGGGAGGATGGATTAGAAGCAAGAGGCCTAGCCCCACAGGTTGGATTCCCCAGAAGGCACTGAGAGGAGCTTGGGGTGTGCAGTGTGCAGTGTTTATTAGAGGACAACACCTGTGAAGTGGTGGGGAGGAAGCAGGGTGGGGCAGAGGGAGAAACTGAACTGCACTGAGATCAGACAAAACCTCAGCCAACCCAGTGCGGAAATCGCCAGCGAGTGTTGCCCCTTGGAAGGGTCAAGTGCTGGGACAAGATGGCTGGGCTTTGTGCCTTTTGGGCATAGCCACCAGAAGTAGCATGGTGTGGGGCATAGTGGCTGTCTGCTGAGACAGCCCCTGCAGCTGTGGCCAGTGGAGCCCGTGTGCTCATGGCACTCCTCTCCCCCCAGCAAGGCCCTCCTTGAAGACAGACCTCTGACCTGGCCGTGCACTGCTGTGTCCACCTCAGTTCACTCTGTGCCACATGGCTCCCTTGTCCACTGTATTCAACAGCAGTTCCTCCAGGATTCTGGGGGTTCCTCTTCCTGAGGGAAGCTTAGGAGGGGGAGGTTAGCAAGATGAACCAGACTCTACAGCTGTGGGCAGTTTCTGGGCCACAACTGATAGTTGTACCAGGAGATGTGAGAAGCCAAAAATACATACTTTTGACCTAAAGGCTCAATTTTGCTCTTTTATGTAATTTAAAATGTTAGCTACAATGAATCCTATATTGTGTAGGATGGGATCTGGCCCTTATGCAGTCCAGCCTCATCTTTGTCTGTCCTCAAAATGAGCCTGCAGAAAGATATGTCTCCAGCCTGGTGCGGTGGTGCACACCTGTAATCCCAGCCACTCAGGGGGTGAGGCAGGAGGATCACAAACTCAGCCTCAGCAACTTAGGCCCTAAGCAACTTAGACCCTGTCTCAAAATATAAATAAATAAATAAATAGGACTGGGGATGTACAGCTCAGTGGTAAAGTGTCTCTGGATTCAATCCCCAGTACCAAAGAAAAAAGAGATCTCTCCCTGCCTCCATGCATGAGGCCGATTTCTCCAGAGAATTCTCCCTTCTGCCCTTTGCCTGTAAAAACTACTTCACTTCTTCAAGAAGACTTGTGCCTCTGCCCACACCCCACTTCATGTGTTGAAGGCGTGGTCCCCAGTGCAGCAATGTCTAGAGGTGGGCTTTCAGAAAATGCTTGGAACAGGAGAGCTCTCGGACCTTATCAGTTGATCGATTTATTTGATGGATTAATACTTTGAATGGACTCCTGGAATGTGGTGGAAACTATAAGCAGGTGGGGCATGACTGGAGGAAGCAGGTGACTGGGAACACACCCTTGGGGACTATGTCTCCCCCACCCTTCCTGGTTGAGCAGCTGTCCACCA